AGCATCAAACAGAAACTTCTTGAGGGAAGGAGCCATATATGATTTTCAATATAGTTGTAGCTCCACTACTAAATGATACGTGGTAGATGCCCAACAAGTATATGATCAAAGAGTAAATGACTTTTCATTTAAACTAGTAATTAAGTATCAATTCATACTATAATCTGCTAAGCTCCTTGACAAATGGCAAAATTTGTAACAATTGAAATAGGATTCCAAGAACAATATATACCATTTTCAAATTTCATATAGAGTACCTATTCTCTAAAAATTAGCAGCACATTTTTAAAGGTACCCCAAATGAGCTTTCATATGGCTCAAGGTTTGGGGCATGGATGGGTTGTGATAGTGATGATTAGAAATGAAGAATACTTCTGTAGGAACCAAATTAATTTTCAAAAAATGGCATGAGACTTGAGACTGAATCTTTCTTTTCTATGCCAAAAGTTTCCAATCCTTAGAGCTGGCCCTACAAAATGAATGGAAGGAGGAGAGAAGGTGAATAGCAATCAGCTCTGAGCAATAAGAAGACATTAGTTCCCTAGCTCTAGCCAAGGTGACATGAAGACTCACTGTGAGCCATATTAACTTTCTTGAAGAGAAAAAATATAAAAATAAAAATTAAAAAGAGAACTATGACAGAGAATATAGCGATTGGGTAAGAATGAACAGCTGACTCAGTTCATTACCTTTGCCCCTTCTCACCTTTATTTTTAGACAATTAATTGATCTAAAAAGTAATACTTCTCTGTGAGTCATCTTTTACTACAGAATAAACAACTACAGAGGCATACAGCAATATACATTCATCTTAGATTCACAGGTATGCAGGTCGTCTGGGTTTGATTACCTCTACATGTTTCATTCTGGATCACAAGATGGAAGAGCAACTATGAGGGAATTTTAACATATGCCCACAAATTCTTTGACACTTCTTCTTTCAAGAGGTGGAGTTTAATTTCTGTCCCCTCAAATGTGGACTGGAATTAATGGCTCACTTCAAACCAATAGAATAAGATGGAGATGGTAGTGTGTGACTTCCAAGACTAGGTCATAAAAGGCATATGGCTTGCTCCTTGCTCTGGCTTGCATTGCATGCTTGGAGGAAAATTAGTTGCATCTTATGAGGACATTCGAGAAAGCCTGCGGAGAGGCTGAGGCCTCCTGCCAATAGCTATATGAATGAGGTGCCTTGGGAATAGATCCTCTAGTTCTAGTCAAGCCCAGGTGACTGTAAACATGGCCAATACTTCACTGCATCCTCATGGAAGATGCACAGCCGAAAGCTCCCAGTTAAGCATCTCCCAAATTTCTGACTCTCAGAAATTATGCAATAATAAATGTTTATTGTTTTAAACCACCATCTGTAGTAATTTATTATGCAGTAATAGATAATGAACAGAAATTGGTACCAGATGCTTTTCTCCTTGTGTTGAAAGTCAGGAGCACAAGGGGCCAAACATGTGCGAGTATGTTTCAAGTTTATGCTTTTGTCCAATCTACTAATATCCACTACATAATACAAGCCTTTTGGTCAAATAACATAAATAGGCAGAGGAACATAGTTTTCTGTAGTAGGCTAAATATTGACCACCCAAAGATATCAAATTCTCATCTCTTAATATTTACAAAGTAAAGGAGTCTGCAGATATGATTAAATTAAGGATTTTGAAGTGGTGAGATTATCTTGGATTATCCAGGTGGGCCCTAAATGCCACCACAAGTGTCCTTATAAGAGAGAGGCAGGGGGAGACGTGACACACACACACACACACACACACACACAGAAGGCAATGTGAAGATGGAGGCAGAGACTGGAGCCATGAGGCCACAAGCCAATGAACACCAAGGAATGCCGGCAGCCACCGGAAGACGGAAGAGGCAAACAATGTATTCTCCTCCAGAGCCTCCAGCTGACAAGTTGATTTGGGATGTCTGGCCTCCAGAAATGTGAGAGAATAAATTTTTATTGTTTTGAGCCACCACATTTTTGGTAATTTATTACAGCAGCCCTGAAAAACCAGTATCTCCTCCCATGGAGTAGATGGAGATGTTGATTACTGGCTGAACAATAATCTGCTCTACTTTAGCATCCCTTCAAAAAATAACCAGAAAATCAAAAAGGAGACACTGTGTATTGATAGTACCAAAATAAATGAACAAATGAATGGACACATAAATGCATAAATAAGCAAAAGGAAAATGAAGAATTTAGATCAAAAGATTAATTATCCATTAAAGCAGTAGAAAATGTCAAAAATGTTCTCAACCTTCTCTAAGAAACCAAAATAAAAAGAGGTAGAAACAATAAAGTATCAGAGAAGAGATAACAGAATAAAGGTGAGCTCTTTAGATTTAGGGGAAAAATGGAAAA